TAACGCAGCCTGTCCACTCAATTGATATTTTCGAGGTATATTGTCAAAACTTGTAAAACATTGCTTACAAAATAATAATTTGCTTTCATATCTATTTTTTTGTGGCCGAACAAGTCTCGAAAAATTAGATATATATATATGTAATGTGTATTATCATTTTCCGTCACTAATAACAGATTAAAGTGATCTCGTTTTTCTTCATCTACAACTCGGAGTGGGAAAACCTCATATGTTGGGAACTTTTTCGGTGGTTGTAAATGCTTTTTAATACCATAAATATTTATGGAGACGAGTGGATTATTGTTTTCAAATATTTTTATATCAGATAATGGAGTTGGAAATGAGATACCATCGAAAATATATTTCCCCTCGTGTCAGCGATAATTTTCACCAATACGACATTTCGGTTCCTCCGTTACATGCTTAGCTAATATAACCCACTTGAAGCAATATTTATCAGTATTTTGTGGATTGATTGTACCCTTTTTTCTATCGATACTATCTGGTAAGGCTATATAATATGAAGCAGACATTGGTATATATTTATACACCCCTAATAACAATCCATCTACAGCTTCTAGCGCGAATCCACTTCCTCTCTCCGAATAAGTCTCTTCTTCCGTTAATAATTTTATAAAAGATTCCTCAACAAGTGCTGATATATCCGACTCTCTAAACAAATCGACTGCAGATGTTTTGAATGCACGATTTTCTGAGGAATTTTCCACACACGGGATATTATAAGTGGCCTCTAGTTTTAAATTAAATTTAATGGCGTTTTTCTTAAGATGTGTTTCCAGTATATGTATTAAATTGGATTTCAATGAGTATAAAAATATGTTATAATTTTGAACATTATCATTATTTTTAGCGTAATACCATACGATTTTACGGTTTGCTGATGTTAAAATTTCTACAAGACCTGGGGATCTAACCAGTTCCATACGCACTTTTTTCACCTTAATAGCTGAAGTAGAATTAACGTTGGAAATGCGTTTACCATTGACTATAGTCGTATAAGAATCTTTAAAAAAAAATATATATATATATTATCTCATACTCTATCGATGATATTAACCTTACACTAATTTATAATCCTATAGTATTAAAATCAAGCTAACACTTTATAACAATCTACACATTTTGGAAACTGATTAACTTATACTCTGTTCATGTTATTAAAATATAGCTTAGACTGTATAAAAATATTTAAATTTTAAAAACTAACATTTACATGTTACTAAAAAAATAGAAAAAAAAACCTATATTCTACCTATATCCTTAAGTTAATATTATTTTTATGATATTAAAAATAAAACTACCCTTGTATATTTTCGTTCAAGCCCTCGTTTTCAAATTCCATAAGTATCTCCTTACACACATTATCGTTATCCCGTAGATTGCATACATTTTGAATAGTTTGATACTGGTTTGAAGGTCCTGCCTGCATGTTTGATACCATGGTTTGTGAAGAAGACTTTATAATACTATTGTGAGGTGGATGATTGCGAGTAATACCTAATAAAAATAAATTATTGTAGATATATTTATAAAAATAAATAATTATTTGTTTTAATTTATAATAAAAAAATATAATATACATACCATGGAATTTTTTATATGTCTATTGAGATTTGATTTCTTCACGAATGATTTGGTACATATAGTACATGATAAACGCACACCCTTATGCTTATTTTAGTGGAAAACCAAATTGTCTTTACGTGTAAAGGTAGACATGCACTGATCGCATTTAAACATTATTAAATGTATAAAGTATATATGAAATACAGGGGAAAAAAAAAGAATAATAAACACTTGGAAAAAAAAAATACTAAGTATATATTCTTAATATAATAAACACTTGGAAATATTTAAAGACGGTGTGATATTTGTACGTTTACTAGAGCATAACACTGGAGATGTACTGAATGGCTAGTGACACTTGTAGGTGTAGGTATCGATTTGTATTAGTACATGCTTAATGTATATTTTAACGAATCAAACACGATCACGCTAATCAATATGCCATAAGTTAATGGCATTTAAGATTTTTCAGAACAAAATCGTTAAAATGCGACATCCTGGCGGCTAAAGACAATTATAATGTTTTATTCACTAATAGACATTTTAATATCTTTAACTAAATGTCTGCGAAACTCTGGAGACAAGTTGGGCACATTAAGCAGAGCGTTAAAATAGGAATGAATTATAAATGTATAAGCATAAGATCACATTTTAATATATTTTTTTAAGTATTGGTCGGCTAATATTCCTGGGAACGCTGCGTCGCTGCCGGTGGGGTGGGTAGCGGCGTCTGCAGTAGTGGTACGCGACCGAGTGACGGCGAAAGTGGTGGGGGTGAGGGTGGATCATTCATGCATGGAGGGGAGAAATATACATAGGTTACGTGGTCGATCAGTGGGGAGTAGGGAGTAGGGAGTAGGGAGTAGGGATCAGAACCGCTATATTTATCCTATTGCTTTGTATTTTTAAACTTAGATTAAAAATTTGGTTAAGGTCAAACATGGGCGAAGAACTCTTGGTTGGGTTAGCTTTGCTTAATATCCATAGATACAGAACAGTTAAAGTTGACGAAATTATTGATTTATTTGCTGACAGTAAAAAAAGAAATTTAGATTTTGTTATATAATTCATTTTTTAAGTATTTAGTAATAATTTATAATAAAGTTTCAGATTATATTATAACCATAAAAAATTGTGCAATTAATTTATGCCCCCTCCAAAAAAAAAAAAAAATGTTTTACAGGCACGTCACTGGTAGACCACCTCACGCTTGATACTCGCTGATCTGTGTTCTATAATTATATATAATCACAGATTACATAGATATTAATGTGGTTTTACTAGTTCAGTGATGCGGACGCGCGGTGATGACGCTCCCGTCTAATAGTAAAATTGTAAATTATTCACAGATATATAGAAATACAATTGGAAAAACACGTGTAAAAAACTAAATACATAAATGTGTACGAATATTCAGGCGCGGATCTAGATATGAAAAAAGGGGGGCTAGTAAAGTGAGTTACTGCCATAATTTGTTGTGCATATTTATTTGTACGAAATCTTTCTTGCATCTAATTTTTTAAATATTTTAAGTAACTTCCAATATGGTTGTACCTAATAAATAAGGGGGGGCTTTAGTCTCCATAGTCCCCCCTTTTTATCCGTGCCTGTGAATATTAAATATTTTATCTAGTTACTTATGAAACAATATTTTAATTTCCTCAAAAATTATATTGTTATTTTTTTTTTAAGTATTATGTACTTAATATTAATAATATCCTACTAAATATAGTTATGAATGAGAATAATATCTTGTGAAATGAAAAGTTAACTTTTTTTTTAATCTTTATGAACTATAAATATTTTTATCCTATTATAGTATATAAGCAGTGACAGATCTAGAATTTTTTCGTAGGAGGGGGGGATTTAATATATTTTCGCACATAACAAGTCTTGATTAAGGCAATACTGGTCATAATAAATAAACTTTTTTTAATCCATAGGGGGATTTATCTCCTATATCCCCCCGTAGATCCGCCACTATAGTCAAGAAATTTGTATATATGGGGTAACGGTCTAATATGTGACCTACAAATGTTACTCGACTTACCGATAAGATTGTGTTGATCTACACAGTGATGTATTACTAAAATAAATTATGGTTATATGCGTTATTTCATGTAGTAACTATCATATGGCAGCAGAGACGTCGAACTATAAAAAAATCTAGTATGGGGAATATCAAATTTTAATAGTACCTACCTACCTATCAATTGGTGTAAACGGTGGGTGAGGGCTGATTATACTAGTATAATGTTAGGACTATACATTATTTATCTCTTTAAAAAATTATTAATAGGATAACACCCCTCTCCCCAGTGCTCGTCTTGAGGGGGGACGCAGGGTGACGGCGTACCCCTTCTATTTTTTAGAAATTCGAGCGTCTCCCTACTATTATGATGTTATAACAATAACGCTTAATAAGTATTGGGGACGCAATTTTTTTTAAGCAAACAGAGTCCCCCTTCAATAATTTTGCCAAGTCGAGTACTGCCTCCCCCCAAAAAAAATCCTGTGTGCAACTGACGTCAAGTATTAATGAGGGGCTTTTCTCCTCACTCCCTAACTCCCTATACTAAATTTTCTATAAACTGGTAACTGCAAGACCTTTGTTACTTTTATAAAATTGATGATGAACTTAAAACAAAAAAATTTTCTCATTGATACAATGGTTACGACTATCAACAAAATATATTGTACTGTTATATGATTACGACTTACAACTGTTTGTTTTTGTGTATTATCTACGATTTAAGATAAAATCTATATAATATATTGAGGCGGACACACTGCCACATATTCCCTCACCACGCTCGACGCCGCTAGGTTGGTTACCTTGCCTTATCGCAGCACGGCCGTTCCGAGACGACACGGCCATTTTCGCGCGCCGAGCTTTCTCTCTTCGCGCCAGTGTTGCCGATGATGTGGTAATTACCACATACGGTGGTAATTTTATCCAATTGTGGTACATGGTGTGGTATTGTATAAAATGTGGTATTTTTGTGGTATTTATGAAAATACAAAAAAATGTGGTAATATATACCATAGAGATTTAAATTGAAATGTATTGTAATACAAGTTATAAGTTATATATAAGATTTTTTTTTATTATTATATTATCATTAATTGTAATTGTATAATAATCCATAGACCTTATACTAGGTATAAGGCTTTCGGCTTCATAATCATAATGCGTCTGACATAATCAGTTAGCAATCTAGTTATTGTATATATCTGTGGTTACAATGATTACAATGCGACCGCGGTAAATTATAATTGATAACACGAAAATACGAAATTCAATACTAATATAAATTACAAACAATACAATTGTGAAATGTTAATACCAATCAAGTAAATTATAGCTGTTACCTATTATGTTTATAAATATCTATAAAAATTATTTAATAACAATGGATAAATGGCTTAAAAAAGTTGTGCCTGACACTCAATCTACTCAATTGATTATAAAAGTAATAGAAAACATTGATGAACCGAAACCTTTGTTGAGTTTGATTACTGCTGATTCAAGTTTGGTTACTGAACAAGAGCTAGAAGCTTCTCAATCAACAACAGACAAAAAAAAAAAAAAACCAACCGTTAGAAAATTTAATGAAAAATGGTTAACTATAACAGAGTACAAAAATTGGCTTACTACCAAAATGAACATAAAACAAAAAGAAATAGCTTATTGTAGTGTTTGCAGTTCTTTTTTGAGTCCTCACCTTACTGAAATTAAGAGACACGGACAATCCGCCAAACATATTGTAAATTCTAATCAAGTGGTGCTACAAAATTCTGTTAATAAAATTTTTAAAATATCATCATTGACCGAAAAAACTAGAATTGCTGAATTGAAACTTACTGCCCTTTTTGCTAAAAATAATTTACCCTTTTCTTTGTCTGACACACTTACCCCTCTACTGAGTACAATATTTTCTGATTCTAAAATTGCCATAAAATTGACTCTAAAGAGAACTAAAGCAACGGCAGTTATGAAAAATGTTTTAGGAAATAATTTTTTAAATGAGCTGTGTGATAAACTTAAACAACCTGGTACTTTTTACTCACTAATAATGGATGAAACTATAGATATTTCTGAAGTCAAACAGTGTGCGGTTGTCATAATATATTTTCATACAAAAACTATGACTGTAAAAACTCAATTCTTGGATATGGTTGAAACATTTTCAAGTAAATCATATCCTTTTAATTTATTACTAAAATATTACATTATTTTATAATATTGTGTTATTTAGGAACAGCCGACGATCTAACGGACACTCTTTTGAAGTGTGCTTCAGATAAAGATTTAGAGAAAAATATGATGGTTGGATTTTCTTCAGACACAACTAATGCCATGGCCGGACAATTTCACTCTGTTTTTACAAACTTGAAAAGTGCTGTTCCAGGTATTGCTTGTATTAAGTGTTCTTGTCACATGATTCATCTTTCTGCATCCAAGGCTTGTCTAAAACTACCACGTTCAATTGAAGATTTATTGCGCAATGTGGGATCTCATTTTAGTAGGAGTCATTCACGTCAAACCAAATACAAAGCCTTTTAGGAATTTTTTCAAGTGGAAATACATAAAATATTGTCACCATGTACAACTCGCTGGCTGTCACTAAAATCGTGCGTTGATAGAGTATTAGAACAATTTACTGTTCTCAATGAATATTTTAGACTGGTAAATTTTGAAGATCCCTCCAAAATATCTGAATTAATTTATAGTACCATGGAAAACTCCTATAGTATAATCTACCTCGAATTCATGTCATATTCACTTGGTCTCCTGACAAATTTCAACACTTTGCTTCAAGGTGAAGGGCCTCTACTAAATTTACTAAAATCTGAAATTGAAAAGTTATTGAAAACTATAAGTATGAATTTTATGACTATTGAGTATATAAGAAACCTTGACTCAATCATGACTGTTTCTCCTAATTTGTCACAATATTATCTTCCATTAAATTAAATTTATATTGGTATAAATGCTACTGATTCAATAACAAATTTAAAAAACAAAAATGTTGTTAACTCAAATGAAATATTTAAGTTTTTTAAATCATGTCAAGAGTTCTATATAGAATTTGTAGTGGACATAAAAAAAGATTTGTATTTGACGACCCGCTGTTTGAATGTATAACCATAACTAATCCAGCTTTAGTAAAACAATTCAAAACTAAATCATTAGCTAATGTATTAAAAAGATTCCCAGTATTAAATAATTTCATAGACAATGCACAAGAATTGGACAAGGAATGGAGAGAACTAGCACTCATGGAATTAGAACCATCAAATTCAAATGATATTATGGAATACTGGAGGAAAGTATTTTGTTTGAAAAATTCTTTAGGTGAGATATATTTTCCAAACATACTTTTTGTGATGAGACTCTTATTGGCTTTGCCATTTTCCAATGCATCATTTGAACGTTTATTCAGTGATCTTAAAAACATCAAAACTATGCATCGCAATAAACTTAAAACTGATTCATTGGTGGGGATTCTCAGGACAAAACATTCCGTTGTGGATTGTATTAGTTTTAAGCTTTCAACTGCAATGGTTAAAAGCAAGACTTGGGACTCCTCTAATATTAGAAAACAATAATGATACTATTTTTCTCTCGCGCTCAACCGATCGACGGACAACACGTTCGCTACGCCCGACGGCCTTTTCCATCTCGCTTTGCGTTACACACGTGTTTTCGACCGACGACTATTTCGACTCACGCGAGTCCTCTAGCTTTTTATTATTCATATGATTTGTTTTCATACCGCATAAAATATATACAATTGTTTATTATTCGAAACGTGGTGTCTTTATTATTATTTATTATTTTTTCATATATCGACGCCATAGCCTCTCATTTGTTTGCGGTGTGCGGATTGCACACCATCGAACCTTATCTACGTGCTCTGCGTTCTCGCCAAAATATTATATCTTAAGTCGTGATATTATCTTATGAGAATACCAGGGGAAATCAAAATGTACAGAAAAATACAGAGCATCCAACAAAAGAAAAAAAATTATTTTCTAATTTTGACTTACGAGGTTTTGCTGTGTAGCCGCTGATATCATACAATGAATGAGGTGATAACGATGGTTTACCTATTATAATTAATATATTGACCATTGGGTGCACCGCACCCAATGAATATTTTCAATGGGTGCTCGAGCACCCATGTACTTGGCGCCTATGTATGTAATATATATTCATAATATGTAATGTTAAAAGCCAATGGACTAAGATTTGCTGATAATACAAAGATCAAAGCCAATAATTTAGAAAGCGTCAATACACTGGTCAAAATGACCAAAGACTTATTTTCTCCAGTGGGAATGCAAATCAATCCATCAAAATCTTACGCAACTAATATCAAAAAAAGAAAGCTAGTCCCAAAAATAATAAAATTACTAGATTCTTCCAAAATTCCATCGCTCGATAAAAATGATTGCATTAAATACTTGGAAATAAATTTCAAAGATAAAATCATTTTTGATCAGAAGCAATTTCATATAAATCTAGAAAAGGATTTTAAAAACCTTTTCACCTCTCCTCTTCTAAAAGGTGACAAAAAAAAAATCAACATTTTGAACCAATACGCCTACCCGAAACTTATCTACTTACTGCAAACAACATTTGTAAACCTTCTATAACAACCATTTCTTAAACGTGTAAACATGCACATACGAAAAATTGTTAGAGAGATATGTGGACTACCAGTTGATACTCCCATTACAGTATATTACAATGGACGCGAGGTTCGTGGCCTAAGTACGAGTATGCTGTGAAAATTTTGGGAAGCTTCATCACAACATCTAACTATTGCTCAAAAACTTTCTAAGATAAATGATTCACACCTAAACATGGTCTGAAATTGTACAGATGAAATAGTCAAATGCCGTCAACGCTTGAACGTAAGAGATCAAATTGTGCAAGATATCCGTTCGGAATTACGAGCAGGTGAATTTAATAAATGGAAGCAATTATTTCAGAGAGGTATAGACGTTGTTTGGTACTACAAGTTTACCCTAACTAATGCTTGGATATCAATTAAAAACGGCTTATCAAGTGGAGAATGGACAAATGCGATAAAAGCGTCGATGAACTCAATTTCAAAATTAGAACAGAAAAGGTCCATCCTCTATATACTAAGAACATGTTTCGATTTCTTAGTTAATTTTCAATCGCTCGCGTTGGTGGGTTAGGTTAGGCATTTGCACATTATTAACTCGTTATGTTGCTCGGCCTTGTACCGAAATTGACCAAGTTATCGCTCATACACTAATTTTATTCACTGTGTCAAGTATACAGTGTGATCCCTTTTAAAGGTAACACTAAAATATTCTGTCCAGTGACATCGAATTGATATGCGGTTTTCAGGAAGAGATAGAAAAATGTCCAAATACACATTTTTCGATAGTTTTAAAATTGTTAACTCTTTTATTGTGCACATGCGCATCACAGCTTGCATTTTTTTCAATAGCAACACTTAATTTTAACAACAGATTTGGATAGACCGACATTTTTTAAGATAATTTGTACCATTTTACCATAGCTCTAAAACCAAAATGGACTAAATGACAACGAGTTTAAGTTTCGATTAATATCACAATATTTGTGTCATGAATGTGAAAGAATCAATGAACTCTGAAAATTATAGAAAATTTGATTCAAATAATTCAAGCCATGTTATAATCAATTCGGAGTGACATTAAAAAACAAAAAAACGATAATTTTCATTTAAAAAATGTAAAAAAATAATTAAATATAAGTTTTTAGAATTGTATTTAAATCTTATTAAATTAATTAAATATTTATTAGTGTACTCTTTTGTTTTAACTACATATTATATAAAATGATTGTATTGTGTTTATTATGATTATGTAAATTATTGAAATAATACTGCATGTACATTATTTATAATAATCATTATTCCATTAATTTTATTTATTGTTTGCTTTGTCAAACTTTATTGTTATTATATATTTAATACTTGCCGAGTAAAAGTAGGGAAAATTAAAATATGTAATATACAGTATTAGTGGCTATAATATTATAGCTATATGACTATTTATATATTTGTATTATTCCATCAATGAAACTGATAATATAAAATGCACACAGTTGTATTGGTGTTGTATAAAATTAAGAAATGAGACAGCAATAATTGTAGTTATTTGAAATATTGAATATGAATACTTACGAGTATGTGACGTATAACAGTAACGTATAATGACAACAATGTGAAGTTTAGTTATTGTTAATAGGTATATATAATATACATAAACCACCCATATATTTTTCTAGTCAAAATGGAATAATAAAATTTTTTTTATCTTTAATTTAATAATTATTAACAAAATTAAGTACTATTATGGTTTTAAGGAACAAATAAATAAGATTAAGTAATTACACTTATTTATTAGTATGTAACTCATTTTTATTATTAACAACTTTTTTATACATATATAAGAAAATTGTCAATGATAACTGTAACATAGAAATAATAAGCTATGAAAAATAATTTTGAGTTAGCGTTAATATTACGGTGTTTATATATTATATATTTTATTAGTGTAGTTATTTATCCCGACACACCACACACAGCCCCTGTCATTCACCGTCGTCACCCGTTACCATTCACTATGCTGTATAACAGTGTATACATATTTAATGTAAAAATACTAGTTAAATATAATAGAAACAATAATTCATCAATACATTTAAATTGACCATCGTTTTTTTAACTTTAATAAACAGGACCTTTTAGTGTCCCGAAGATTCCCTGGGGGACAAAAGGATGTATGGTCCTAACCTTATAGAAAATAGATTTCCTCATTGTTGATTTTTATTGATTTATTGATGAAAATTACCTCAATACCTATTCTGTGAAGCCAATCTGGATAACATTTTCAATTAAAATTTTTTAAACAGATTTACAACCTGAAAAATGTTAATATATTTGAAACAGCAAATTTTATGAAAATAATAAGACATGATGAATTTTAAACATGGATTTGTATTGTGATACATTTATTTCCTAACCTCTCCTGTTTTCTTAACTTCTTGTTTCCTTGTACATTTTTAACAATCTCATATAGTAATTTAAATGAATAAAACATAATTGTCATTCTTTTTAATGGTTTTAATATTTAAGATGAGTCATTTGTAAGAATTTAAATAGTTTATCATGGTTATATTTTTTTCTTATTTTATAATAATCTTTCATTACACATCTTAGTCTAGTCCATAAGTGTGTTGCAGTTGCTATATATACACTACAATTATATTATAAAATCTCAGTTGAAAATGAAATAAAATTTAAGTTAAATAAATAAATATTTATACCATCTGGTTAATGCCTGTTTGGTAAATTGTTTAATTATATGTGTAAAATGTATTGTTATTTACGTGGTTAAATTAATATAAACAGCGATACCTTTATTACAATCTTTATTGAAATTTAATAAAAAACAAATTTATTCTACGAGCACAATTTTGTTTCCTCAACTTGGATTATTTAAATATTTATTTTACGAGCAGTACGCATTAAGCATTGATTCAAGCGTTTTCGTGTACATAACAGCTAGCATAGTTGAACAAAATTCGGTGCAACATGATTGCCCAATTTTTCGTTTTTTGGCTCGACTAATTACACCACGATTGTGCAAAAAATGTGTAACACGATTGCGCCTCGATCCCTTTTTACTTAATAAAATCACAACACCATTGTGTACCAAATTACATGTGTATATATCATACTATGAATAATAATGTATGTATAACATGAAATAATGTATAGAAAACATACTTTCTATAATTTGCACTCAAACTATTAATTCACAAAATTCACTTTTTCCAAATTTAAATAAAAAGTTGATTGAATTAATGATAGTTATAATAATAATACCGACTAATGACTATCAGTAAAGAAAAAAAAAACAATTTTTAGTAAAAAAAATTTCGACTGTTGACCATGTTAGTATATACATTTAGCATACATTAATTTAGAAAAAAAATAATTTTTAACCAAGTCAATGATGATAATTTGTTGCCAGTCATAAGCCTGTAATAATTGGGATGGAAAATTGTGAATTAATAGCTATTAATAGCTATTAAGTTTGAGTGCATTTATATGAAAATTATATGTAGAAAGTATGTATTTTATACATTATTTTATGTTATACACATATTATTTGGTACGCAGTGGTGTTGTGATTTTATCAGGTAAAAAGGGATTGGGGCGCAATCGTGTTGCAAATTTTTTGCACAATCGTGTTGCTGTCAACAAAATTGTATCTAGATAATTATTCGAATAACTATTTATTAGGATAAAAAAATTATTCGAATGATTGTTTTACAAATTATTCAAATAATTTAAAAAATTATTCGTAATAACAATCATCGATAATTCCTATAATATAGTATAGTACTGAGTTATATAAATATATGTATATATTTATTAGAATTGTCCTTATTTTTCAATTTTATGAATTTTTAGCGGCTAATTCTAAATTTTTTTCAATGTATAAAAAAGCAATAATGATGAAGTTTAAGTGTCATAATATTATCTATTCCCAATGGGGTTAAAATTGTAAAAGAAAGGTAAATTTTCCTTTTTTTTAATGTACCATCTTAAATTTGAAAGTTGCACAAATATTATATAAAAACTATTATTATAGTATATAATGAATATTATTAAATATAACATTAAAATTCAAGAGGATACATTAAGAAAAAAAAAATTTACCTTTTCTTATAAAGCTTTAACGCCATTGGGCACAGATAGGGGACAACTTGTGACACTCAAACTTTTCCATAATTATTTTCTAATACATTGAACAATATTTAGAAGAGCCGATATCAATTTATATAAAAAAGAAAATATTATCTGTAGCTATGACCACCCTAATATATATATATATATATAGTATGTACATAAAAATAATAGTGCATAAGTATAATACCAATAATATCTATCGATGATAGGTACGTAAATTATTCGAATATATTGTTGATTGAATAATTGTGAAAAATCATTCGAACAATAGTTTATTCTAATAAAATGTTACCTAAATAATTACCTAAATAAATTGCATTAGTATAACGCCATGCTCTGGCAGTTAGGCACTATAAAATTGAATGCATAACGACGTGAAATAATTTTAAAAACAAATTACAACAAATGTTCAGGGATGTGAAATAAGTCCAAGTAGAGTTTGTTGAAATGTAAATTTTGTAGTGTCAACTTCACGTAAACTTCACGAGTTCAACACGATGACCAATATCGTATATTGCAGCACGTAAAAGTAATGCGTTTGTGCTTTTTCCGTGTTCTTAATTACAAAAAAACCTCAATTTTCAAAAATGGTTAAAAATGAAAAATTACCTTTCGATAAATTTTGAAGAAAGAGAGGGAGAAAGGAAACACGTGAATATCCTATTTTTGCTCTTTAAATTCGTGACGTTTTAGCGGAATCCATTTGTTAGCCCGCAAATCGGTGACTTCATTGATAGCACTGTTCCACTGTGACGAAATAGACTGCAGATTGAGCTTCTTCATTATTTCTATGAGACTATGCGACTAATCGATAAAATTACAATCGTTACAAAAATCGATTTAAAAAAATCGTGAAATTTCAAAAAAGTATTACTTGTTCTAATTTTTTGCCAACAACTATTAAGAAATAGCAAATATTAACTACGTATTCGTCTGATTTCTTACCAAGCGACCAGTTTATATAGTCAACTATAATTCGGGATGGTAACATATTCTTCATATATAACATGCCAATGAATCTAAAATTGTACAACGAACACATTTTATGTGGTCGAAATAAAAATTCTAACATTATAACTTAAATAAAAATAAGTTAATTTACATTTATAAGACATAATAAACATATTTAATTACAAATATAATACGATATGAAATAATGATGATAATAAATGTTAAAAAATAGATTAGGTACCCACTGACATAATTTTATAAATTTGAATTAAATGCTTTGAAGAACATTGTTAGCTGACATTAATAAATTATTATTAATTATATCTACGTGTAAAATCCTTTAGAATTAATTTTCCTTTCCATCATTTCTGAGTGTAATAGATCGTTGCATTTATTCAACAATTGTCTTTTAAAAGAGGCAGTCCTGGACCTTCTATCGTATCTTATCTTAATATTTTGCATTTTAGAACAAATAAATAAATAAACTGCAATTGATTCAGGCTTGGAAAACACCTAAAAAATATAAATGTATTTATTCTGTAGTTAAATTCAAAAAGTCAACCATAATATGTTGATCTGAAAACATTTTAAATACTTACCATTTCAAAGAGTAAGTTAATTGTATATTCTAAATGATCAACAGTCGTAATGTTGGACATCAATTCGTCTGTTGATGCCTCAACATTTATTGAAGTAACAGTGCTTATCAATGACTTAATTACAAAAAATTCATTCTGAAATAAAAACTTAAATGTTGTACGCAATCATTTAAAAACCAAAAGACACTAAAAATATGAAATTTAAGTTGTTAAAATATCAAACATTGAAATATATATAGCCTTACTTTTAATATAGTAGACGATTCAGTCTTTTCAAATGAATTTGTTTCGTAAGAGTTGATCTAAAAAAAGAAATTCCAATACATGAATAAAAAAAAATAATATATATCAGACGTGATTAAAATAACATTTTACCGTAGTCCTAATTACAATCGATTGACCTGAGTTCATCCTTTCCTCAAAAATGTCCTATAAAAAAAATTGTAAAACAATAAATACTTAATATCCCTCACAAAAATGAAAGATAAATGTATCTAAGAAAATTATTTTTCACTTTTAGGGTATCTAATATTGAAATCGTTGTTGATGAACTACTCGAATTTTCAGAGATTACCTGAGTTAGACAAAATTTAATATTACACATAGATTAGAAATAATCATTAGAATATAGAATTGTATATGTAAAAGACAAAAGAAATCTAATCCCAATCAAAATGATACCAATGATTCATCGAACACTGAGTTCTCTTCCGAGTCTTTAGTCAATCCAATGTTCATTTTATTTGTATTTCCTGATTTCACAAGAAATTGATTAGATTTTTGTTCAAGCACTTCATACGAAAATATTAATCTTAATTTCTTACCATTTGATGAGGTTGTCGTTGAATGGTTGTAAAATGGGTACTTAATTTCATTAGATAACCTCTGCAACGATCTATTGTTCATCGTGCATAAAACCGATGTGAATGTCCTCCGTCCCACGTACGGGACTAA